GCTGAATGCCTGTTTCCCGAGGCGATCTTGGACCCCTCGGTGCCCGGGAGCTCCCCCAAGCCTCTCAAGTACAGAGGTTCGGGGTTTCTCTTTCATCATGGGGCGCTTGTCCCTGGATTGGGCCTCTTGGGAGGCGGTATCCTGCGCCATGACCCCCTCGGCGTTTCCAACCCCCGGGGGAGGATTGTTGAACAGAGGGGGGAGCGGTGGCAATTGAATAACATTTCCTCCAGCGTAGGGCTGGAGGGGTGTCTGAGAGGCGAGGGCTCCGGAATTGAGAGCCATGTTTTGAACAAAGGCCGCAAAGGCAGCCTGAAGATCGATGGCCGGGGCCGGAGGGGGAACTTGGTTCTTACTCCGATCCCTCCTTCGATTATCAAGGCCAATGCGGGCATCAGGGGCGTTCTTCTGTAGTTGCTGACGGAGGTCAGCAGTAGCCTGCTCCAACTCAAGGATGATACCACCCTCGGGTACTAAGAGCCTGTTGGAGGCCTCAGCCCCGTTGGTTTCGCCGGGGGCTATGTGGTTCTCCTCAAGGGTTTTGGACTGGGCACGGGTGGTTCTTCCCATTTTTGGTAAGTATTTTGTGTTTGGTAGAGGGGGAGGGTTTCTTACTTGATTGTTCTGACCTCTCAACGAGAGCACCAAATGATGGATAGTCTACCCGGGGGGTATCTTATCCGAGGGGTTATTACGGGAATAACTTAGAGAGAAGTCAGAGCAAATAGGAGGAGAGAGAGTCGATTTTATTAAATGAACTCGGGATGTGGAGTTGAGATGCAGATTCTGTCCATTACAAGGAGAAATGGGCTGCTATTTATAGCAGCAATAAATGCGATGAGGGTACACGTGTCAGTAATCCAACGGCCGAAGGGTCACATCAGCCTGGTGGCACCGGCCGTGGTACGTTCACCGCATTGAATGCGGTTGGCGGATGTGACGTGGCATTAAATGCGGTGGTTGGCTGTCCCCAAAAGGAATCTTCGATGATCGAGCGTGTCTGGCCGAAGGCTCCTGATGTAGCCGAGGGCTCCATGCGACCAGGACCCCTGTGCAGCCGAAGGCCTCATGTAGCCGAAGGCCCTGAGTGACAGAGGGCTAAGTTCAGCCGAAGGTTTCGCTAATGCCGAGGGCTTGGTAATGCCGAAGGCTCATGTTTTTCGCCGTTTTTCTCCCAGTAGCTTCCTATGTCAGAGAAGGCCATCCTGTGAGTTCTGGAGCCTTCGGCCAAGGAGGCCGGAGGCGCCCCAGTATGTATTTCGGGCTATTTTGGGGCCTGGGCCGTTGCTTTTGGGCCTGAGTTGTTCTCTGGGCTCATTGGATATGTGTAGCAGAAGTAGGAGTCTATGGGCCGGGGGTTCCTGGGCCATATACTCCATCAAGGGGTTTAACACATTTTTTAAATCAAAGGAATTAATGCACTGATTTTACGAGGGAATTTGGTACATTAAACCCCACTATATTGCTTAGGAAATTGTCAATTTCTATGTGATAAGAGAAATAAATAAATTTTAAAATTTTACTCCAGCCAACAACTTAACTAGGAAAAGACCTATATTGGCAGTGGCGGAGCCAGAAAAACGGTTTAGGGGAATCGAAACTCAACCTATATATAGAATGAAAATGATGGATCGTTTTTAAACAATGCCCGGGTTGAATATGCACTCATAGCATATTTTAAAAATTTTTGAAAATAATCTATAATATGCATCAAATTTTGTTTGATTTTACGCTTAGATGGTGCTGATTTTCCAGAAGTCATAATTTTTTACTCATAATGAATTACAGGGGCCATAATATATCAAATTGAAGATATTTCAGATATCTATGCTCTCAAACTTTCAGCGGGGTCGGATGACCACCCTGACCCTCCTTGGCTCCGCCCCTGTATATTGGTGTACAAAATTAATCGAAAAACAGATAATACCAATTTAAAATATTTTGATAACTACTACGTATTTAGCTATAAAAAAAATTGAAATACATTCTCCTTATATCTTTCATTTTCAATCTAATCCCACCGATATAATTATTCTAACAAACAACTACTAACTAGCAATTGTTTCTCATCTCACGAGTATAATAACATAATTCACCGCTGCAGCTAATATTCATCTTAATGCTCAAAACTCTCGGTTAAAAAAACCTCACTGTAGTTAAACTTTTGTTGAGCTAAATAAATTCAATATTATTGAGTCTTCAACAGTCAACACTACCACATATAGCTTCAATATTATAATTGTTCCATCAAAGGTCTCCTTGGAAGATTTGAACCTATGACAAGAAATACTTGTCTCACCCATTTAATTTACACGGATTTTATGAATTATGTGTCACTTCATGTGAAAACGGTTTGAAGGGATAAATGCATGAAAAAAGATGGGAAAATTAGGAAAAAGGCAATGGAAATATGGAAAAATACTCGAACGGATATAAATAAGGAATGAAAATAAGCATTTAGTGATTATTATGAGAGGACCAAGATTAAAAATTAAAACTCCATATAACAGCACAATATGATCAAGCAACTACTATCCATTTTTTGTAAAACATGCATCAGAAAACGGCACTCATACATTTTCCATGGAGCTTGCGATGCCCGCAATTGTAAAAACTCCTTGGCGTATTAAACAAATCTGTATAGTAGGCTCCTTGAAGCATTCAATTTCCAAATGCAAGTAGTTTCAGTTGGTTAGGAATTAGGATATTAATATGAGCTAAGCAGATCATAAACACGGTTTTCAGATGGGTAATAATAAACCCATAAAATAGAAACACACAGTAATAGTAACAATCATAACAACCGCCCGAGAGCCATGTGTTAGTGTCCCCGAACGGGAACAAAATATACCCCGAAAGTGTGACTAGGCATGGACCGGGCCCGGGCCGGGCCTGACCGGGCTTTTTGGAAGATAATTGAGGCCCGGAACCGGCCCGGTTATCCACCGGGTCCGGGTCCGGGCCGGGCCGGGCCTCGAGCCGATTCCTTTTTTTTTTTGCTTTTCTAATTAACCCCCAACCCCCCCCCCCACCCCAAAACACCCAGCCCAACCCGTGAAAATGAAAAAACAAAAAAAAAATTAAAAAAGCCTGAACCGGCCCTGGCCCGGCCGGGCCGTTTCCTAATTTGGGTGACCCGAGGCCTCCCAACTTAACCCCCGGGCCAGGCCTAACTGAACCGGTCTCGACCGGGCCACCGGGCCGGGCCGGTTCCAAATAGTGCCGGTTCCGGGCCGGGCGGCCCAACCCGAGTCCACCATAAGTGTGACAAATAAGTAGTCTAAGGATGTTTTCTTTTGGATTGAAATTTGCTGGTCTGGTCTGATTTGGTCTAGTCTGGTCTGTTTAAGTTTGGTCTGGTATGGTAAACGTCTGGTCTCTGTGTATTTTATAACTATCCAAGTCTGGCCTGGTCTGTTTAAGTCTGGTCTGGTCTGGTCTGTTTAAGTCTGGTCTGATCTGATCTGGGACTGAAAACAGTCCAAAAGAAAACATCCTAACTGCGGGACTGCCCAATGAGAATCCATCAGTCCATGTCTCCGTTTAACAACGGATTAAAGGAATTTGGGACCAAGCTATTGTGTTGTTCATGCGGGACGACAAACGTACATGCTCACGAGTCCATGACACCCTACTACTAATAAAACAATATAATGTGAATAATGTCTAGAGCATATTTTAATTAACGCAAATATAATCTTGTGGAATCATGAGCCACCTTCATCGTCCCAAAAGGCCAAAAATACTTGACACACGAGATACCCATTATGAAAAGGTATTCGTGCATTGGGATGGACTCGGGTCGGGCCAAACGGCCCGGAACCGGACCGGCCCGCTACTGTGCGGGCCCGGACCGGCCCGGTGAACTGGTTAGTGCCTGGTTCGGGCCACCCGGCCCGGTGAAATAGCGGTCCGGGCCCGGGGCCTGCTATTTAGTGAACCGGCCCGGCCGGGCCGGGCCCGGTCCGGGCCTCAACGGTCATTTTTTAATTTTTTTTTTAAATTGTTAAAGGCTCTATAGCCGTTGGGAGTGTTCCCAAACGGCTCTATAGTCGTTGGGAGCATAGGAGGGGGGGTCTGAGGGTTAGGGGGGGTGGGGGTGGGGTATACAAAAAAAACCTATTTATATTCCTATTTTCTATACATTTTTTACACCCCTTCTTCTACAACTCTTCCTACTCTCTAATTCTCTATTCTCTCTATCTCTCATATTCAATCATCTTCATTCTTCATCTTCTCCAAATTCTTTCTACATATATATAATTTATATAATTAGTATATCTAATTATATATTAATTATCCACTTATAAATATATACTTATACACATTCATATTATTAATTCTTTGATAAGTGGAAGGACCCGAAGATCGGACTGTGGTGGGCAACTTGCAAGTGGTGCAAGAAAGAGTGTTGATTGGGGCGTTCACATGGAGTCGGGATGCCAATAACACATATGAAGTCATGTGACAAAGGCAAAACAACAACCAACGGTGGCGGAAATCCCAATTGATATTTATTAGAAAATGTATTTTATATTGTTATTTTTTTCTCAATTCTCAAATGTGCTTCCTATTTCAAATAAATGCGCTTTAATTTTGTTTTTAATAAGAATTATTATAATAATATAATATATAATTTTTAAAAAAAATAAAAGGCCCGGCCCGTGAACCGGGCGGGTGACCCGGCCCAAACCGGACCCGGGGGTTACCCGGGCCGGTTCCGGGCCTCCCATTTCCTGAACTGAGGCCCGTCCGGTTCTAGGCCCGGCCCGGGACCGACCCGGCCCGTGTCCATCTCTATTCGTGCAAGTCTTATTCGACGCAGTTGAGAAAACTTTGGGACAGTTTCTGAACTGAAGTTCCATTCAAAAGAAGAATATAAGCTCCTTTGGTAAGATGGATAGAAGGAAAGAAACGAGGTAAAAGAAAAATTGTCCATTTTTTTGGGTTCAATAGAAAGAGACTAGAAACTACGTAGTATAACGAATTGCCCATGTCAACTCATAATAATGATGATAATAATAATATTAATAATAATATAAATAACAAGAATGATTTAGTATGGAGTAATAACTACAATTGAAATAGAAATACGACCAGAACTTTTAAAAAAGTTGAAAGTAAAGCCATCTAATAAAGGTCCAAATCAAATTGGAGGTCAATTTTGTTTCCAAATTCCAAACTCAATTTCTTGTTTCCATGTGAGGAGCTGAAAACATGGAGGTGGGTGGCGGGTACGTTTTTAAAAGCATGCATTTTTTTGGTGAAAACTGAAAAGTACTGTTCATCAGAGTTTGACGTGTATGTAAGATAAGTACAGCGTAAGCATTTTATAAACTGCTATTATTAGTACTAATATTTTAAGTAAGGGCAGAAAAAGACAAAAAGGCGAGTCCAGTCAAATAATTGAGGAATTCCTTGGCAATGGGAACTATCTCTTCTTTTTGCCACCCTTTCCCGGTTTGGAAGTGCCAGCAGCTGCAGAGGATGCAGGCTCTTGCTTCTTTGTCCTATTTGGATGTCTAGGCACCAACTCTGCCACATGCATCATCAGCTCTTTTCCTGCAATGTAAAGTTTCCTAAGATTTAACCAAGAAAAAAAATACATTTCATGTTGAAGTATTTAAAGTGTTCCTTTCGTCAGCTCTCCCTCTCACTTGTCCTACACTTCTACCCCGAATCTCTTTCTATGTTAGCTGGCGAGGAAGGGCTTTCCTATGGCAGTCCAATCTCATCTTGATTGGGCTAGACTTATATTTGGCTAGACTTTTTTTGTATCACAATTGAACCATACTTGAATCAGAACTTTCAACAATAAACAAAAAAGAATTTTATGGGTTGAGAATCAAAAGTTTTTATCAGAGAGGTGTCTTCCTCGCTTAAAAAGTGTTCCTTCTCTCAAGAGATTTGGAGAACTCTCGGCAATGGTGCATATTCAATCGGGCTTGGTGCTTTTTTTTTCAAAAAGCCCTTGAAATGTCCTGCCTGTTTTGTTTTGACTTCACAATATAATGGGGATTCTTGTCCATTGCCTTTGAAAGACAAAAAGGCACTCATTAGTACACTTTCACCATTGCAGCTAAGGAAAGCATGAGTGCATCGGAGGAGTGCAACCAAATTAAATACCCTTAAGATTTTAATTTTGAAATTCCTACAACATAGGAGTTTGTTTCTATAAATCTTTTTTATTTGATGAACTTCCCGCAGTCATTTTGCTTCATTTTATGGGGGATTTTTTACTCCGCTATAATATGTCAATTCATGTTAGGCGACTTCAAACTCTTTTGGGAACAAAGCTTGGGGATACAATAATTTTCCTTATCAATTTTTCTTCCTTCTCCTAGCATTTTACAAGATCCAAACAGATCCTAAAAATTTGAAGTTTTGCATATTATGGGGAAAAATCAGATTTATAAATGGGAGAAACCTATTGGATGAACCAAGGACCACCTATATGTATGACTGAGAAAGGTGTAAAAAAAACAACTTAATAATCAATAGGAAGCAACTGAGCTCTTCACTTTATTCCTTGGACATAAATATTATTTAAAGAGCTGAGCAATTAAAATTTGTAAGATACTCAGTTTTGAACGCATTCTTCTAGCAGTGGCTCAACCGATCATCCTACCATGGAGCAAAGTGCATACTATTTCCCTATCCAGGGTCTACATTACTAGATGCTGCTACCTATTAGGCTATTAAACTGGTTTCCGTACAGTTTGGATGAGCTTAGTTAGTAGGATTTCAAATGAATTCATTCTCAATTAACAAAATTTTATAGAAAGCACAATGATGAAGGATAGGGGAAACTCAATACCATAAGGATGTGCTTACTAAAGTCTAAACAACACCAACCTAAGATGCCCCAATGCTCAGTAGTGGTGTCGTAACTGCATGTACCCACGTTTCTGATGCTGATGCACATATTATACGTATTGGAACTGTATGTCTGTATATGTTATTTTTAGAAAGTACCCCTATTTATCAAAAAGGAAAACTTTCTGATACCCATTACCCTTAAATCGATAGATGTATTTAAGTTAACCTCTTAGGATAAAAATATTCACCGCATTCAGTTTTCATGCATTCGTCAACCAATATTCAAGAGTCACAAGTGACTGACTAGTGTAGTAATGAAGTTCAATAATTCTCTAACATTCGGCTATTAATTACTCTTAACTGAAGTCTAATTCTAAAATCATATCATGGTTATGAACATTTGGTATTATAGTCCATATTATTATTATTATTAAGATATGGATCTTTTTTGCAGATTAAACCCTATATTTTTCATCATTTACAAATAAACCCCATACTCATCCTAGATTTTCCAAAACTGTCTAATGTTATACCAATATATTTGCCTATTGCATAGCAGTGTACCCGTATCTGTGCATCATTGACACCAACTATGACTATAGCTATATCTGTGTGTGCATCCGGCCATACACATGGAGCTGTGGAGCAATAACCCAAAGAAGCTTAGGGCATTGTAAATTCAATCCTCTTCCTGACACGATCTAGAAAACATTCTTTGTTTCAAAAGACACGTTATGGTCTATTAGTATCAATTTGTCATCTCTCACTTCGAATCCACATTCATTTTACTTGTACATTTATCAAAGATGAATAGATAGGTTTCCAATAGATATTAAACATTTAATAACCAAAATTGGTGTATATAGTATGGGTTAAGAATTATATTATGATACTGAGGATCAGTGTTGCGAATGACGAATTATGGTGGATAGCCAAATACAACCATACAAATAAGGCGGACGGCATTGCAGAAAATGGTGGAAATTGGAAACATAGTGGATTAGATAAAAAATATTACATATAAAAGAATATACTTACTGGAAGATATAGCTAGATTATACAAAGACCCATCTTCCCTTTTAAGTAGAACTCTAACTCTCCCTCTTTGCATATAGTCACGTGGATATGCCTTTTCAGTCTGAGAAAAACACAACCAAAGATATACAATCACTACTGATCAGAACAAATAACCACCACGTTATTGATCAAACAAGAATCTATCACAATTTCAAAGCAGGGAATATGTTAGGAGTTTAGCCAGGGCTGGACAGAAGGAAAGATTGATGTGGGCTAAGTGAGAAGGAATAAATCTTTTTGATTAAAACTTCAGATTTTTGAAAGCTCTTTACTATTCTGACCCTGGTTAAGGTTATAATGCCTAACGAAACAGCAGAAGCTCATTAACTTTGATCTATTCACAGTGCAACAAAAGAGCATTCCATTTTCATAGATATCAGAGAACTCAATATAGTTTATTTTCTTTCTTAATGAACATCAAATTCTATACAAAGATAGGCAGAAGAGGAAAATGAACATAATCAAGGATTGAAGTAGTGAAGCTCTCACATTTGGGTTTATGGGGTCTAAGGGTCTTTACTGATAGTCACTTGCAAAAGCATTAGAAGTAATCAAAGAAGAAAATGAAGAGGAACACGACCTCTATAGTGCTGAGGACTTTAAGGTGATTACAACAATCTTGAATCTCAGCACAAGTAGGGTTTTCACAAGCTTTGCTCACACTGATTCGCCTTCCCTCAGCGATTGTCTTCTTTGAATTTATATACACTGGGTATAAAATAATCCACTTTTTTAGGTTTGGTACATTTGCATCCATTTCCCTACTCAATTACAAGTACACACACATGAACAAAATCATTATAGCGAATCTATTGTCATTATATAGAAACATTGATGAAAGCTAATCAATGAACACACTATAAACAACCCCAATCAAGGGGGTGTTTGTATCTGTTTCTTAAAATTGCTTCTGCTCTTTTAGGGAGCAGATGCATATTGGAGTGTTCAAGTGGAGGTGCAAGAGTACTTCTAATGCTCCAAATTGCTCCTAGAAGCAATTTTAAGAAGCTGGGGCAGTTTCTAAAAAAATGATTCTAATTCTACTTCCACTTTTGAAAAAATTTCAAACACCTCCAAGTCCCGACAACCTGTTTCTTGGAGAATGTGTACAAAATATACATAAAATAAAAATATAATTAAAATTGTAAAAAAACACAACCCATCAAATCTAGCCAGCCTATTCATTGTGAAGGGTGTATTTTCAGCTAATAAAATCTCGACAGCCTGCTCAATGGTACAAGTGTATTTTTAGCCAATCGAATCTCGCCAGCCTGTTCTGGACATGAGTATTTTCTTTATGATAAGATCATTCATTTTCCTATAACTACTACTACCTAGCAAACACTTTTGAAATGAATAAAACTCAATCCTTCTACCTCTTCTAATCCTCTTTTTCATTTTCAGTCTGCAATATGAGAAATATCATCTTATGTGTGAGTGCTATGTAAACCTATTACTAGTATTTTATTAGCTTATACGGACCAAAAAAATTTAATCTTTCTATAATTAATATTTTTTAGATGTTTCAAGTTAAGGATAAAGAACTACTTTGGATTTAATGTTAAAGAAATGGTTAAACTAATTAAATCCACAGTTAAGAGAAGCTCTATTTCTGTCTCTGGCAAGATTAAAATATTACTTTAGTTGAATAGTTAAACTTTGTCTTTAGTGAATAGCAATTAGCAATGCTTACATACAAATTTTAACTTATACATGTATGGGAAATTTAACTCGATTCATGGTTGATTTTTGTTTCACTGAGAAGGCAAATTTTGGCAACAGAAGGCATGTTTTGAGAAATAGAATACAAAATTAACATTAGAAAATATAGGTTGAGTAAGCTGAATTTCCAAAAAAGATCACAGCAAGATTTTAGAACTATTTCTAATTAGATTTAGTTCATGCATGTGAACAATAAGGAGAGTTAAATTAGTGAGATGGGTTTACTCCTTAATGATAGAAAAATCATACTCCGCATATAGTATTTATGTTAGTTTTTTTTCAATAGTTATGGTAAACCAGTTAATTTAGTTGAAATGTATTTATAGTGAGAATAGGATGTAAAGAATAACTGCCTGTTCGATTTCAGTTGATAAAAATTCAACAACGAGCATATATTTGTTTGAGTGATATGAGGATCGAAGAACATTACATTTAGGGGGTCCAATACTGTTTTGATTAAACGTTGAGTCATACGGAGTATTAGTTAGTTAATATTGCTGTTAATTGCAGGAAAACTAGTTTTTCATAATAAGGTAAAATAGGTAGTTCAGATGTGTAAAGTGAGAACAAAATGTTAAGGAATAACAATCTGTTTGAGTCAATGAGGTAAAAACGAATAAATAAAAAATCTTTTAATCTAACGATTTTCATACAGATTAGGAAACATAAACATGCACTAAACTAATAAATTCATATGAAAACATACCTATCTGGAGATTTCGCTACAGAACGGATGGAAGATATTCGGTAATTTGGGTCTTTCTGTTGAAGATCGACGAACCTGATACAATAGTACATGAGATCTGTTTATCTAGGGCTCGTTCGGTATGGTTGTGAGTTTTATGTTTTCAGAAAACCAAAAACTGTTTTCAGTTTTGTATTTTCACTTTTTTAAAAACTGTTTTCATTTTAGTGTTCATTCAAAATTAATTGAGAATTTGAAATTCATTACTTTGTTAACAAACAAATACGTATAAACATCGATTCTCACAATTCATACCATAATAAAAGTCATGGTGCAGGCATGTGTATTTGACAGCAAATATTCAATTTTGTATGTATCAACACTCTATCACTTTGGAAATAGTACAAAGATTATTATAAAGAGAAGGAGAAAGACAAAACCTGGAATTTGGAGGCAGGCGTCTGGGAGAAGACAAAGAGATGCGGCTATGGAGATGGGAGAAAAGAAAGAGACGGACGAGAAACGGACTTGGGCTTTAATTTCCGGAAACCACATTTCCTCACTTTTGGAATACCGTTTTCGTTTTTAAAAACACCGTTTTTAATTTTTGGAAATGGAATCAGGCTCTATTTCCAATCACTTAGGGAGTGTTTGTAATTGCTTCAACTTTAAAAAAAATGTTTTTTTAAAGTGATTTTGGGAAAAATGATTAATAGTAAAAGTTGGTAGTGTTTGAGAAAAAAGTGATTCTGGAAAAGTAAAAGTTGGTAGTGTTTGGTAAAATAAGTACTTTTTGTGTAATAGAAAAAGTGAGAAGCAGTTTAAAGCACCCTTCTACCTTCTTCCAGCTTTTAGCTTTTAAGTGATTAATTTAAGCAGAAGTTGTCATTTGAAAACACTTTTTTCAACTTTTTTTAAGTCAAAAGCTAAAAAACGCTTTTTTTAAGCAAACCCAAACGCTCCTTTAATTTAAGTGATTGTGACTTTTTAAAAGAAAAAAGCACTTATTTTACCAAACACTACCAATTTTTACTTTCTCGACTTCCGTGTAGAATCTATATTTTACTTTTTTTATTACACAAAAAACACTTATTTTACCAAACACTACCAACTTTTACTACTAACCACTTTTTCCAAAAAATGCTTTTATTTAAGCACAATCACTTACAAACAAAGCTTCAGTCCTTCCCGAACGAGTTTTGCTTCTTATTTTAAATGATAAAACGGAAATAGCAAAACAACAGTGCGAGCCCCTAATTAGAGCATCTCCAATGGTAAAATGTGCACGGTGCACACGTGGCATGAGAAATAGCTACATAAATATTAGTAAATAAATTCTTTCTCTCCTTATTTGAATGATTTTATACGGTTTTGGTAAGTTTTTCTCCACACTGTCAAGGAGACCGTCTAGATGTTGACATTGTTGTTGACATTGCAGGGAAAAAATTACCAAAATTGTATAAAATCATTCAAATAAGGAGAGAAATAATTTATTTGCTAATATTTATGTGGTTATCACTCATGCCACATATGCAACGTGGACATTATAGCATTGGAGATGCTCTTAGCCGTGAAGAGGCTGTCGGGGTATATCCATGAAAGCGGGTATAAAATCTCTGTCGGTGTTGGATTGGAGGAGGGTGGATTGTGGGCGATATAATGGACTGAACAAAATTACTCGTATTAGACATTGGGTTGGGTTGGGTTGGTTTATACGTTGGGTTGTTTATTAGGGCCATATAGACATATAGTGGGTTATAATGGACTGAACAAAATTATGCGGGAAAAGGGACAAATAAGCCCATTACTAACAAAAAAGGTTAAATTAAGAGCTTATTTGACCATTTTTTATTAGGCTATGTTTGGCTGACATAAGTCTGTAGCTTTTGGCTTTTATACTATTTAAAAAGTCTCTAAAAGTTGTTAGTTGTTTGTTTGGCACGCCAATTTTTAAGAGCTTTTCAAAAAGTAAAAGCTCTTTTTTGAGATGCTACAGGTAGTAGCATCTGAGAAAAGTCTGTGACTTTTAGCTTTAATAAATCCTAACAGCTTGTATGCCAAACAGAACTAAATCAAACAGTAAGCTTTTTACCAAACAGCTACCACCTTTTACTTTTAAAATCTTTTCAGTCATTAAAAGCTAACAGTTACTAAAAAGTTCACAAAAAGATCTTTTCAGCTAATTGTACCAAACATAGCCTTAGTATGTGGGCTTATTTGCTCCTTTTCTCAAATTATGCATATAAGAGCTTATTTAACCTTTTTCGATTAGTACGTGGACTTATTTGCCCCTTTTCTCAAATTATGCATATGAGTAATATTTGATGCACCAAGAAATTATAGACAGAATCAAGTATTTCTGGGCTATTAAAAGAAAAAACATATGTGTTAACTTTAAGTATATTATATATGAAATTTGGTTCATCTTAAAATATTTATATTGATATTTTTACATATATATATATATATATAATATTACACACATATTAATTGTACATGATAAAATTTAGGAAAAATTGATTGTAATAATCTCAACTATTGGCAGTCCGCTTCTAATAATCTCAACTATCGATTATTTCATAATAATCCCAACTTTTGGGACTTTCCGCCAATAATGGTCCCCATAAATAAATTCTTGTAGTTTCTAAAGTGGATGAAGAGAGATATAGCAAGTAATCCCTATAAATAATCCTAAATTTTAATTTTTACACTTAATTTCTATTTAAAATTCACTTTTTTAGGATGTAATATCTGGTCATGGACCATTATTGGCGGACAATCCATATAGTTGGGATTATACAAAAATAATCAATAGTTGAGATTATTATCAGCGGACCGACAATAGTTGGGATTATTATTTTCAATTTTTCCTAAAATTTACCTTTTAATGTATTCCTTTGAGGAAGTATCACAAAAATTCACCAACTTACTATCACGTTTGTTAGAAATCTCATATTTTCTTTCTTATTCGTAACAACTATTTAGCTTTAACTTATTCGAAACTATCCACCACTGCATCACATGGCTATATTAAGATAATATATTAGAACTTACTTATCAAAAATATTCTACAATATTCATAAGTCTAGAAAATTATGATCAAACACTAGAAAGTTTTTCATTATTTTGAAATTATTGATGTTTCAAATTTATCTTGACGTTTATTGGTAAATTATTCAATAATGTAATGTTTTGTTCCATAACCATTTAGAGAACTTTTGACTAAGTGATTTAAGTATCATAGATAAAGAATAACTATATGGTAGCCGTTGGATATAAAATTATGGAAATCTTGATTTTTAAAATGTTAAATCCACATGTTTTCACTTAAGTTTGCATAAAAACTGTTTCAAAGTTGGGAATTATGATTGTGTTTATATTTTCATAGAATTTGAATAAAAAAATCAAAAAGCGTTCAGTAAGGCAGTGTTTGATAAAACTTTAACTAATGATGCATGCATCAAGTGAAATAATGTGTCAGAAACGAGATCATCAAATTTAAATTAAGATGAGACATGTATTTGGATAAAAGACTTACCAAATCAGCGATGACTTTCTGTCATGGATCACACAATTTTGTTGATAATATTAGGTCTGCGACGGCTTTTTGTCATGGATCAGTTACAATTTTTGTTGATAAAGACTTTCTATTTCAGATAGGAGAAGTCATTATTCAAAGGTAGTGTGTGTATTAGTTGTTTTATGGTACGATGATGGTCCGAAACCGTAGAATCAAACAATTTAATTTTTTATCTTAATAAGTCAAAGCATGATGCATTATACAAGACTAATGATAATGTGTAGACATGTGTAGTCGACTGACAGAAAATTTTAAAGAAGTTGAAAGAACAACGGTTCTATGAAAATTTTAATTGGCTTGGCAAGAAAAATGCTTCTTTAATTGTAAATGTTATGCAGAGTAACTTGTTAATTAAAAAATTAACTTGAATAGTTATCTTTGTTTATAGATATATATTATATATTTCAGATATAGTTTAAAAATATCTATGTTTAAAAAAACTAAGAATAATTAAGTGAAAAATTACTATTGGCATGGTCAATAACATAATGATAATATAATTGACATGTACTTTAAAAGTTTCATAGCAATGAGGATTGAATGGTCTATCGGCATTTTTTTCCTTTTTGAATCAAATTTGATTATTTGACTATGACAAGCAATTATTTTTAATGTGTGGTTTGATTTGATTGTTTGATACAACATAATCAATAGGGACAAGCTAAGGGCCGACTTGAGTAGTTATTATACTATTTTATTGTTAGAAAGTGTAATCTACCCTCTAATCTTACTTCTTTCATTATTTATTTAATAATTATTCTAAAAAACAAATAAAAAATAAAAAAATGATAACAACGTAAGTATACCTATTTCATTATGAGTATCGCTATTGTATTATATTTTTACAAATTAGTAAGAAAAAACATATTATATATCGTCTTTGTCCCACAATTAAGTTCATAGTATCACTTTAATGGGTCTTCAAGATCAAATCTTGATCATGAATTTCTAAGAATATATACTGAAAAGACTACAACAAATTAAAATTTCAATAATATATACTAAAATAAAGTATTCAAATTTAGTTTGGTGATATAAATGATGTTGAATTACTGTAGATAGTGATATTGATGAAGTATTTCCTACAACTGTGAAATATAGTCCTATAAAGCATTATATTAAGATTTTAGGCTATTCTTCCTATCAGAATAATCATTTAGAATGAAACTTTGAATCTTAACATAGTATCATAGTCAAACCAATATGTAACTATGGTATGGTACCTATGACAAATGAAGAAAATTATGGAAAAATAAAAATGACTATGAAGAACTAATGAAAAAATGAATGATAGCAAGATCTTGACATATGTCTGGTCGTGAGAGATGTTATGAAGTATTTCCATATCGGTAAAATATGAATTAATATAGTACTATATTAAGATATCAAATTACTCCTCTTATCAAGTTGGGCTTAAAGATGGAATCATGAGTTTTGACATGGTATCAGAGCCAAATAGATCTGTAATTATAGTGTGGGCCCCTATAAAAAATGTCGACGATTATGAAATAATGGCAATGATATGATAAATTCGTGAAAAATGAATGATGCCACGATCTATGTTTTACAACATAGAGTAGTAACGCCGGCATGAATAGTGAGATGGGTAGTGACGTCAGCAAAGGGAAATAACATGGGTGGTAAGAGAAATAATGTTGACAGAAAGTGTAGTGATTATGATCAGAAGTGCAGTAATGTTGAGTAAACCTTGATATGAAGCTAAGTGTAGTATATGTACTTGGATGAAATAGGTGTCAAATGAAACTTCATATGGCTAAATTTGTGTATATGCTCTAATCATGAATTGGATGAAAAATCTGTATAGATTAAGAGAAGATAATATAACCCAGAATCTTGAATATTCCACTATGCGGTGGGAAAAAACATTCATGGCAACAAAGTGAAGATTTTTTTTATTTTTTTACTTTTCAAATAGATTCAGCTGTCTCTAATCACTTTTGAATTCTACACAA